AGCAGGTTGGTCTGCTCGGCAATCTCAGAAATCAGGGTGACGATGCGCCCGACGCCCTCGGCGCTAGCGGCCAGCTCGCGCACCGTGGCATCGGTCGCACCGGCCTGCTCGGTCGCACGGGTGGCCGCTGCGGTCGACTGCTCGACCTGGCGGGAGATCTCGGTGATCGAGCCCGCCAGCTCCTCGGCCGCCCCGGCGACGCTTTCCACGTTGGCGGCGGCCCGCTCGCTCGCTCTCGCCAGCCGTCCGGCCTGGGTGTCGGTCGCGGCGGCGGTGGTCGTCATGCCCTCGGCGATCTGCCGCAGGCTCTGCACCGCTCGGCTGGTGGCCGCCAGAAGCTCGCCAGTGCGCCCGTCGAACTGCGCGATCAGCGCATCGACGCTGCGCTGCCGTGCCGCGCGCTCGTGCAGCACCGCGTCGTTGTAGACCTCGATGGCGCAGTCCATATCCAGGAACACGGCCTTGTTGAGAGCCGTCAGCGCGCCGACGAGCGCGCGCGGCCGCCAACGATAGCGCCGCACCACCAGGGCGAGCAGCCCGTTGAGTGCGAAACAGTAGCCGCCGAGATACCAGGACGGGGTCAGGCCGTGCCTGTGGTGCGCCTCGCCGATCCGTCGGGCGCGCTCCCGGTAGTCGGCATCGAAGGCGCCGGTGAGAAGCCGCGACCAATGCTGCGCCTGAAGGCTGCGCACCCGGGCGACGTTGCTCGGCGCACCGAGCATTTCCGCAAGCTCCGGCACGGCGGTGATGTGCCGGTAGAACGCGCCCAGGATCTCCTCCAGACCCGGCTCGAGGAACGGCCCCAGGCGGCGCAGCTCGGCGCAGGTGCCGGCGTCGATCTGCAGGAAATCAAGCTTCTCATTCGTGTGATTGCATGCTTTGGACATCATGGCTATCCCGGTTCACGCGGCGAACGGCCCCCCAGGCTGGACATCCATGGTTAAATACTAGTAAAAAATGCAGAAATGTTCAGCCAAAAAACAGATTAAAACCGCAGTTGAGATGATTGATCTATGTTAAACACATAGATTATTTTAACTCAATAAGCATTACTACTTTAGAGAAAAGAGTGACGGGATGAGGCGAACGATCGAATCACAGCCATTGGACTGCCATAAGTGCAATGTTCGCAGCCTCGCCCCCTGTGAAGACCTGCTGGAATCAAGCGAAGGAAGCGCCGGGGCCACCGGCTACAAGATCACCAATTTCAAACCGCGCCACACCCTGGTGCGGTTCGGCGAGACGCCGGACGGGGTTCAGGTGCTGCGCAAGGGCTGGGCCTTTCAGTACATGATCACCCCCAACGGCTCGCGGCAGATTCTCTGGTTCGCGCTGCCGGGCGAGCCGCTGACCTCCCTGTTGGGGGAGCGGAGCAGCTACGCCGTCGAGACCCTGACCCACTGCGACCTCTGCCTGCTGCCCGCCCTCGACGCGCCGCCCGGCCGGCAGCCCGCGGCGACCTGCAGCTTCAATCTGCTGCGTCTGGTCGATGCGCAGCAGCGCGCCTGCCGCGAGCGCATCGTCGTGCTGGGACAGCTCAACGCGCTGGAGCGCGTGGCCAATCTGCTGGATCACCTGCGCAGGCGGCTGGCGGTCCGCGGCCTGGCGGTCGAGGAGTCCTTCGAGTTCCCCCTGCGCAACGCGCACGTCGCCGATGCGCTCGGGCTGACGGCGGTGCATGTCAGCCGGGTGTTCCGCGAGCTGGCCAAGCGCGGCGTCGCCGAGCGCGAGGAGGGGCGGATCCGCCTCGGCAACGCGCGTCTGCTCGGCGAGCTCGGCCGCGTCTCGGCCGACCGCGCCTTCCCCGGCCCGATCAGTTAGAGGGGATTGGGAATTGGGAATTGGGGATTGCGGCAGCGCGGCGCAGGGCCCGGCGCAGGGCCCGGCGCTGGGGGCGGCGCTTGGGGGCAGCGCGGGGGGCGGCGCCGCAACGGCTCAGCGCAGCTCCAGCCGCTCGATCTCGACCTCTTCCACCACCTCGCCATAGACCTGCCGCGCCGCCGTCTCGATGGTCGCGCGCAACTCCGGCTCCTCGCAGGGTTCGCTGGCCTGCCCGAACCCCTCGGCATGCAGCAGCAGGTTGAGCCGGTCGAGCAGCTTCGCGGCCTGGCCCGAGGTCGGGGTCAGCTCCGGCGGCCCGGCCCACGCCTCGCTCACATGCAGCTTGAGGGCGAGCACGGCGCGGCGCAGCGGCCGCCGCTCGCGCTCGGCGAAGGGCAGCGTGACCACCAGACCGGGCAGCCGAACCACGCCGGCCTCCTCCGCCGTCGCGTCGGCCTGTTCGGCGGCCACGGCCGGCGCCGGGCCGAGCGCCGGCCAGAGCACCGGCAATACGGCCAGAGCCGCCAGCAGCCCCAGATGGACCGCCCAGGCACGCCCCCGTCCGTGCCCGACATCCCGAACATCCAAGGCCACGCTCAGCTCCCCCCGCCCGGACAAAGCCCTCTCTGCCGAGCGCTTTGTATCCAATTTAACCCGCAGGGTGACTTGTGACAGCCAGGCGTAAAGGAAGCCTTATCGCCCGGCGCGCTCGACCACGGCATTGAGCAGGACGTTGAGGCCCGGAAGCTGCTCCTCGAGGGTCGTGTCCTCCTTCTCGTTGTGGGTGACGCCGCCCTTGCAGGGGGTGAAGATCAGGACCGTCGGGCAGAGCTTGGAGAGGTTGTAGGCGTCGTGGCCGGCCTGGCTGGGCAGCTCCAGCAGCGGCACCTCCAGCCGCCGGGCGGTGTCGCGCACCAGGTCGAGCAGCTCGGTGTCGAAGGCCAGGTCGCCGAAGGTCCAGTCCTCCGCCACCTCGATCCGGCACTGGCTGCGGCGCGCGGCGTCCGGCAGCGCGGCGCGGATCTCCGCCTCCATGCGCGCGGTGGTCTCGGCGTCGGGGCTGCGGAAGTCGACGAAGACCTTGGCCTCGTCGGAGAGAATGCCCGGCTTGTTCGGCCAGGCCTCCAGCCGCGCCACGGTCGACTTGGCGTCACACCAGGAATAGCGCCAGCCCACCTCGTTGACCGCGACAGCGACCATGGCGGCGCCGACGAGCGCGTTCTGGCGAAGCTGCATGGCGGTCGGCCCGGAGTGGGCGTTCTCGCCGTCGACCTTGATGACCATGCCGCGCGCCACGTAGGCGCCGGTGACCAGCCCCACCGGAAAGCCCTCGGCCTCCAGCCGCGGGCCCTGCTCGATGTGAATCTCGAAGTAGCTGTCGAGCGCACGCCCGCCGACCGGCGCCTGGCCGGCATAGCCGATGCGCGCCAGCTCCGCGCCGACGGTGACGCCGGCGTCGTCCTCGCGGGCCAGCGCCCAGTCCAGTTCGCGCAGCCCGGCGAAGACCGAGGAGGAGAGCATCGGCGGCGTGAAGCGGGCGCCCTCCTCGTTGGTCCAGTTCACCACCTCCACCGGGCGCCGGGTCTCGATGCCCAGGTCGTCCAGGCTGCGCAGCACCTCCAGCCCGCCGAGCACGCCGACGATGCCGTCGAAGCGCCCGCCCGCCGCCTGGGTGTCCAGGTGGCTGCCGATGACCACCGGCGGCAGGCTGTCGTCGGTGCCGGGCCGGCGCGCGAAGACGTTGCCCAGGCGATCGATCGTGACGCCGTAGCCCGCCGCCTCGCACCAGGCGATAAAGCGGTCGCGCATCTCGCGATCGGACTCGCCCAGCGCCAGCCGGCGCAGCCCGCCCTCGGGACCGGTGCCGATTCCGGCGGACACCTCGATCGTATCCCAGAAGCGGGAGCCATTGACGGAGAGATTGGTGCGCGCGGCGGACGAAGCGGACGTGGACACAGCCGGAAACCTCCTGAAAACCTATTGCTTTCGAAGTGTTGCAGTCTGCCCAAGCGGGCCGCCCCTCGCCAGGGCGCGATTACATGCGTTTCCTTGAATGTTTTTGATCTCGGTCAAGGCCGCCCCGGCGCGGCGGCGCCAGCCTGTCGCGGGATCGGCCCTCCGCGCCGATCCGCCTTCACCAACCCAGGAGTGCCCGCTGCATGACGAAGTTTCGCAACACGGCCGCGGCGGCGGCCGTCGCCGGCCTGATGGCCCTGCCCGCCGGCGCCCAGGCGGCCGAAAAGCTGCTCACCGTGATCACCTCGGACAACAGCGAGACCCAGGCCATGGCGCTGGTCCTGTCCAACCAGGTGGCCGGCGCCGGCAGCCAGGTCGACCTGCTGCTCTGCGGGCCCGCCGGCGACATCGCGCTGGCCGCGCCGCCGCCCGCCACGGCGGAGGTGGTCACGCCGAAGGGGATGACCGTGCGCTCGCTGCTGGACGCCCTGCTCGCCAAGGGCGCGACGGTGGAGGTCTGCGCCATCTACCTGCCCAACCGCGAGCTGGCTCCGGAGGCGCTGATGGACGGCGTGGGCGTGGCCCAGCCGCCGGCCATCGCCGACAAGATGATGGACCCGGCCACCAAGCTGTTTACCTTCTGAAGACCCTTGGGCTGGCGATCTTCGGCCGATGCCCGCAGGCCGAGGATCGCCGGCGCGGTCGGCTCCTCGGGCGGCCGGCTACTCGGACTGCGGTCCCGCCCGGGCCTGCCCCTCCTCCATCGAGGGGCAGGGCCAAGCCGCCGGCGCCGCCAGCCCCGGCGGCAGACGGGTGGCGGCGTCGCCGCAGGCCTCGGCCAACTGCTCGGCCGTCAGGTCCCGCGCTGCGCTCAGGTCGAGACCGCGCAGGTCGGCCAGAGTCAGGTGCGTCTCCTCGAAGCTCGCGCCCTCGATCCGGGCCCGGCGCAGGTCGGCCCGGATCAGCAGCGCCTCGCGCAGATCGGTCTCGACCAGGAGCGCGCCGCGCAGATCGGCGCGCTGCAAATCCGTCTTGGTCAGGTCGGTCCCGCTGAGATCGGCGCCGAGAAAACTGCTGCGCGGCAGGATCGCCTTGGAGAGATCGGCGCCGCGCAGATCGGCGTCGCCGAAGCTGGCGCGCGGCCCCTCGGCGCGGTCGAAGACGGCGTCGCGCAGGTCGGCCGTGTCAAACACGACGCGATGCAGGCGGGCCCGGGTGAAATCGGCCTCGCGCAGGTCCGCCCCGGCCAGGGTCGAACGCGACAGGTCGGCCTGCGCCAGGATCATGCCCGTCAGCTCGCGCCCGCTGAGGTCCAGCGCCTGGCGGTTGCAGCCGCTCCAGTCCACCCCCGGGCCGGGATCGCGCGAGCAGCCGGAAAACGGACTATAGCGCTGAATGGCCAGGGCCACGCCCAGCGCCACCACAAGGGCAACCAGAAATCCGATCGTCAGCGGCCGCATCGCTCACCCGTTGGCGGACCGCCGCCCCGCCGGCGGCATCCGACAGCCTTCCTTCCGGGTGCCATGGTGGAGGGGCAAGACCGCCTCGGGTCAAGCCTTTTCGCGCGGCCGCGACAGTCCGCCGGGCGCCGCCTCAGCCGCGCGTTCGGCGCCCCGGCCGCCGCGCCGGCGCCCCGTCGCCGG